AAATAGTGTTAAAAAGATAATTTTGTTGGATTGATTTTGCACATTGGTCAGGTAGTTGGTTGACATAATGTTGGTTTATTTGTTTACACTGTGGTATTGGCTGAATCCTTATATATCTTATGTATTTACTGCGATGATATTTATCAGCTGTGGAAAAGGGGTCAAAATCATGATTCTTTTGTAAGGGATAATGGCAGCTTATGATATGATTGCATCACTGGCCATGAGGGTAAGCTGGTATTTGTATGAGGCACTACTGTCATTCCCGTGCCTTGGGCCCCTCCTCTCAGAATTCATTGGTAACCTCACCGAATCCATGGGGAAAGCAGAGGAGAATGTTCTCTCCTGCTTGTCCTTCAAGCTAATCACAAGTTTTTGAAAACTTTTGAATGTTCTTGGAATACCCAATCCAGCATGATTCTCATCCTGTGTCTCCTGAATGCGTGTCAGATCTTGCTCAGGGTCACACCAGAATTTTCTGAGGATATCACCCAGAGAGCTGTCCTGAAGCCAGATAACTATGAGTGGCAAGGTGTGTGGGAGAATATGAGCAAGCTCCTAGGACAATGGTCATCTTCAGTATTTTGGAATTTCACCCCTGAACATATACAGAACTAGCAAAGTATTTGGAGAAAGTGTGCTGTCAGCCTGACTACTCCAAAGAAGCCCAAATCACTGCTGTGTGCTGAGGCCTAGCCCATGGCTACTGAGCCATTTCAATATCACCCATTATTCCCAAGGGGAAGAGGAGGTCTCTGGACCTAAAGACAAACCCATAGATGATGTGGTTGTTCCAGCCTCTGCAATGAATGCTGTGACTGCCCCAACCCCTGTGACAGGCGCTGCGGCTGCTCCAACCTCTGTGCAGGCGCTGCGGCTGATCCAGAAAGCCAGCCTGTGCCAGTATCAGTTGCTCCAGTACAGAAGAAAGAAGTACACGAAGAAATCAGTTCACTTGGTGAGGGATGAAAATGAAGCAGGGTCATCACGAGAACAAGAAGAGGAGGTAGAGCCAGAGATAATCACCTGGTCTCTGTCCCTCAGTGAGCTGCGAGACATGCGAAAGGACTTTGGCCACCATCCAGGTGAGCACATTATTACCTGGCTGCTCCTGGATGCTGAGACAGTGGAGCTGGTAGCCTAGAACTGGAGGGTGAAGAAGCCAAACAGCTGGAATCCCTCTCTAGGGAAGGAGGCATTGACAAGGTGCTTGGGAGGCAGACATAAACCCTCAGCCTCTGGAAGCGACTTCTGTCAGGCATGAGGGAAAATTACCTCCTCAAGGAAGATATTGCATGCCACCCAGGTAAATGGACCTCAGTGGAGAAAGGTATCCAGTACCTGAGGGAACTGGCTGTGCTGGAGGTGATTTACAGTAATCTAGATAACGAGCAGTTGCCCACTGACCCCGATGAAGTCCGATGCACACAAAGCATGTGGCGCAAGTTCCTACGAAGTGCACCACAGACATGTGCAAGCTCATTGGCAGTGATGGCCTGGAGAGAAGGTGAGGGACAAACTGTGGATGAATTGACTTGCCAGCTCCAGCAGTACAAAGGAATTTTGTCTTCATCCCTTCAGGCTTGTGTTTCAGCTGTGGAGGAACTGTCCTGGGAGGTCCAGCAGCTCGAAGTGGGTATGTCCTGCTCTCAGCCCACACGAGCACGTGTCTCAGCTCTTAGGACTAGGTACTCCTCCGCTCAAGATAGGGAACATGGAAGACAAACACACTGGAATACTCTGTGGTCTTACCTACATGACCATGGAGAGAACATGAGGAAATGGGATGGAGAACCTACTTCGGTCCTAGATGCGCGAGTACCTGAATTGCGAAGGGAAGTGGCAAAGAACAATGATTAATGTAAGAAAAATATTGCTCTAGTTTCCAGTGGGAAGCCCTCCAGACTAAACAGGAGAGCAGATTTAGTCTCTGATCCTCTTGAATGAACCTCTAAGTCGTACTCAAAAGAAGTGAGTGACTCTGATCGAGTTTAGAGGGGCCCTGCCTCCAGCCAGGTGGAGGAGAGGGACAGTCGAGTTTACTGGACTGTGTGGATCCGATGGCCTGGGACATCAGCTCCATAGGAATACAAGGCTCTAATAGACACAGGTGCACAATGTACCTTTATTCCATCAGGATATAGAGGGGTAAAACCCATCTGTATTTCTGGGGTGACGGGGGGATCCCAGCAACTGACTGTATTGGAAGCTGAAGTAAGTCTGACTGGAAATGAGTGGCATAAACACCCAATAGTGACTGGCC